TGCAAAATGTTGAGACTTGGATTCAGTGTGACGTCGAAATAATTGCCACATTTATGTGACGCTCGTCCACACGGGAAATTATCGATATGTGACAATTACATAAAAACTAGCATGCCAGCTTTCCAGTAACTACAGTTGTCACATAAAATTTGTCCAATTTTGCTCATCTACCGCGGGCAATTAAAAATTGTCACATAAAAATTGCTCGTCTAGACGGGGCTTAATTCACAGGTCTGAAGTTCAAGACTCAGAGGAGCTGACATTTCATTAGATTTCTTTCTTTACCAAAAAATAAATAAATTCAATCAAATATAGAACAGGGAACCCGGTAACGGTAACTTAATGAGAAAATTAATAGAGAACAATGAGAATAAATAAATAGTTTTGAACACAAGTAACGCAGGCTGAAGTTTACAGGAAAGTGAGTGAGTGAGTGAGTGAGTGAGTGACAGATTCGTCCCCCTCCAATAACTCTTCGATTGCTTCGCAATCTTCGAGTTAAAAAGGGAAAAGGAAAGTRTGCTTTGTCTGTGAACAACTAGCTACGCAAGTGGCTTGCAACTCCGTCAAAATCTGGGAGTTTTCTCAGGATAAAACCAGTGTCACTGTTTATCATTGTGGACGGCACAGATGTAGGGCCATTCCAAGAAAAAATGACCAAAAAATTGAAAACGATCTAAAAGAAGTTTTCAAAAAAATGCTTCTCTTAAACCATCCAAAGCCAGTGGGAATTTGCTAGTTGCCGCGCTAAAAGGCGGCGACTGGGACGAGATAGATTGTGTCGCAGAGACAGTTGATGATGCTAAGCGTGTTGAGATGCTTAAGCAGAATGCAAAAAAGTCGGATGCAAATAGGTATGGACAGTCATTCGACGCAGTATCACAGTTAAAAACGTTCTGTGATGAGCGTGATGCATTGTACATCTATAAAATGAACAACGAGGGAATGTATGGAGAGCCATCGTATGTTTTCAAATGCTCATCGATTCAAGCTCAGCTTGCCTTGAGTATGAATTACGTAGAAGATGGTCTGCTGAAAGATCAGTATTGCTATGCCGATGCRAAGCATAACCGATGTCTGGGTTTCAAAACCCTGACGCTGTGGGTATATCATCCTGTTTTGAGAAAAATAGTCAAACTTGCAACGATGGAAAGCTCAAAAGAAGACACAGATGCTGTTGTCAAGTTTTGGACTTTGCTAAATGAAGTAAGTTTTTTCTTTATGCATGTTAAAAAGAGGTTATTCGGCGGGATTACCACCAAATAGTGCTCTAATTCTTTGCATGTTGAACGGAATACCATTGTTATTGATGTTTGTAGTTTATCACAGAAAGTCGACGGGATAATAATAATAATAATAATAATAATGAAAACTTGTATAGCGCATATACAAGTCTGTTCTATGCGCTCTAATATAACTAAAAAACAAATTAAACTCTAAAAGCTAGACAAAACAAATAAGTTTTGAGTTCTTTCTTAAAGGACAGCAAAGAGTCAATGCTTCTTAAATCAGATGGGAGAGAGTTCCATAAAGTAGGGGCAGCAACAGAGAAAGAGCGAGAGCAATATGTTTTCGTGGAGTAAGGTTTAACAGATAGGAGTAGTTCTTTAGAGGACCGAAGCGTTCTTTTAGGTTTGTATACAGAGATCAGTTCAGAAATGTAAGACGGAGTAAGACCATGTAGTGCTTTGAAGGTAAGTAGAAGAATCTTGTAATTAATACGTTGACGAACAGGGAGCCAGTGTAGATCTTTTAGTAAAGGAGTAATGTGATCACAACGTTTAGAGAGAGTAACAATTCGGGCAGCAGAATTAAGAACACGTTGTAGCTTATCCAGGTGAACACCAGATATACCATATAGAAGAGAGTTACAATTATCAAGTCTTGAAGTTACAAAGGCATGGACAAGTTTTTCAGCAGTACTCACAGATATAAATTTACGGATACGAGAAATGTTACGTAGATGATAAATGACGTTTTACAGATATTATTGACATGTGGAACCAAAGACATTTCAGAATCAAAAATCACACCAATGTTTCTTTCGCTAATAGAAGGCTTGATAATTTCGTCACCAAAGTGCAGAAGAGGAGCAGATAATTTTGGACCATATTTATATTTATAAAAATAATAACTTAGTTCTGTCCCTGTTAAGTTTCAGTTTGTTTTCAGTCATCCAAGTATTCACATCACATAGACAGGCTTCTATTCTCTTCATCGCATTATTCATATCAAGATTGTCATAACAGGAAAAGGGCATGAAGAGCTGGGTATCATCAGCGTAGAAATGGAAGGACATACCATGGCGGCGAAGGATTTCAGCAAGAGGAGACGTATACAGGAGATAGAGTAGCGGACCAAGAACGGATCATTGACGAACCCCACAATCAACACCAAGAACTTTAGAAGAACATCCATTAACAGATACAAATTGAGTACGACCAAAGAGATAAGACTTAAACCATTGCAAGGCTTTTCCACAGACCCCAAATTTTGAAAATAGACGATTATGTAGAATAGAGTGATCAACAGTGTCAAACGCAGCTGACAGATCAAGTAGAACCAATGCAACACCAGAACGATTATCAATTTGTTGAAGAATGTCATTTTGAACACGTGTAAGGGCAGTTTCACAGCTATGAAGTTTTTTATACGCAGACTGGAGAGGTTCATGACAGGTCAGACAACACAGGATCACGAACATAAACATTGTTTACAAGCGTTATTGTTTATAGCGTTATTAATTCGATAAAACCTGGCTGAATTCTACATTMAATAACAATTTTAAAGATGMAACTTTTCACTTCAAATTTCTATTGCGTTTTGTGCAGGTGTTGCAGAGAATTGCTGGGAAAGAGACCTATTTCAACCCCATTGGTTGGGTTATGGACGAAGCTGGTGCCTGGTGGAATGGCGTGAAAAAAGTCTACGGGGAAGATGCATTATCAAGATGCATCTCGTGCGAATTCCACTACAAGCAGTCCGTGCGACGACAGTCAAACAAGCTTCCAGCAGGCGATGTACGCAAACAGTTTGAATTTCTAAGCTGTGCACTACTTGAAGCGAATACCATAAGTATGTTTGAGAAACGCCGTGCCGATCTAAATAGTTTCCTTAAACATGAAAAAATGGATGTTGCTGTCAAATCTTGGCTGGAGTGGTGTAACGCAAGAAAGACACACATCTTTCGAGCCTTTAAGGCCACGTCCAAAGTTCCGAGAATGAATTTAGCCGAAASGGGACACTCTACTTAAGCCAAAGCTGGCGCAGTAAATTTAACGTTGGTTGATGCTGCCCGCCATGACGTTGGCATAACTGTGCCCGCGGACAATCAAATTGATGTGAGTATGGTTACAGTCAAAAGACATGAAGCGCCCATTATTCAATTCATTATTCGATTCTTGGTCGATTCAACATTACATTATTGAAATCAAATTAAAATTCGAACTTCGAAATCTKATTGGATTATTGCCGAGTACACACCGGGTCCCAAAAAGTTGGAAATGCCGTGTTATTTTTCTTTTTTTTCGTTGTTAGAGTAATCCTGGTTACATTACGCTATTATTTCCTCTCTAACGGCATTCGGAATGGTAAAGACGACCGTATTTGTTTCGACCCGCCATATCAGAGTTCGAAATTTGAATTTAATTTTGAATAAATCAACTGAAGTTTCAAAACGAAAATAAAATGAAAAATCCAATAATGAATTGAATTATGGGGTCTTCGGGGGACGCGCTTCATGTCTTTTGACTGTAAATTGATCTGAGTATAGTTAAATTGATCTATAGTTGAATTGATACAGCCTTTTGCAAAAATTATGAGAATTGTCTAAATATCTAAATATCATAATATCCATATCCATATATTGTCCGGAACACGCGGGTTTGCTAGAATAATTCATTGTTGACATCGAGAAAATGTTCAGAACTACGGATAAGTCCGTCGCCAAAAAAAACTAAACAACAAAGACAAGGGACTAAGGGCATCGCGCGGGATCATGCACTTGATATTATGATATTTATATATTTCAACAATTCTCATAATTTTTGCAAAAGGCTGTATATAGTTATTGATGTGAATATGCACAATTTATAACCCTTAGTTTTCACTTG